GTGAGCACAACAGCACACACTTGTGTGTTGCTAAAGCAGCATGTATCAATGTGTTCACTTGCAAGTCCTTTCCATCTCTGGCTTCATGGGCTGTTTTCTTTTTTTGTGTGCTGAAGACTTAGTTAAGCTACGTCTGGCCTTGATTCAGCAAAGGTTTAAGCACATACTTAGAATTAAACACTTCCATTGCAGATTCCATTTTGTGAACTCTTAGATATTTGCTTCTGCTCTCATACTGTGGAGTGTCTCTGGTGAATATTCTGACACCGGAACAGTCTCTTTCATTATGGTATATTTTTTTAGTTTCAGTCCTGCTATCTTTTTAGAAACCAGCTGTATTCTCCAGCTTAATTGAATTCACAAATTAAATCCCAGTTGCCTCTGTAATTTATTGCTCAAACTCTTCTCTTTCCTCTGCTGCTTTTCTTCACATAGGATCTTGCTTTTTCTCCCAAGAAAAATAGATACTATATCCTCTTCCTTCTGTCCTTTCTCCTCCACTGTCAGAGCAGCAGAAGTTTCTTGTCTACTTTACATCTGTACCCCTTCCACTTGCCCCAGTGACCCTGTGTTCTGTTCTTCCTCTTATTTCTCCCCTCCCTTATTCTCTTTCTTAGCCTCTCACTGTCCTCTGGCTCTTTTCCACTTGCAATATAAGCAAGCATTTGCCTCTTAAAAATTGCACCTTTGACCCTCCTTGGTTCTTCATATCATATCTCATCGCCTATCTCTCCTTCATTCCTAAGCTCATTGAAGGCGCTGTTTATAATTGCTGTCTAGAGACCCTCTTCTGTGATTCCCTCCTGTAACTCCTACTCTTTGGCTTCTGTTCCTTGCTTGCAACTGCAACAACTCTCACCAAACTCCCTGATGACAAGATCTCGGAAACAGTAGTCTCTCCTCATTCTTCTTGATTTGTCAGTAGTGTTTGCTGCAGTTGACCAGACTGTTCCTTTAACTTGTGTCTTCTGCTGCTCTCTGTGGCTCTGTTTTGGTAATTTTCTTCTTTCCAAGTAGTTCTGCAGAATGTCCTTCAAAGTTGTTTCCCATGTTGGAGTTATGTGGGTGGAGGTCTTGGGGCTCTGATTTGGTTGTATTCTCTTGTGATTTTAATGCCCTTTGGATTCTTTCATACCCAAAAATAAAAGAAAAATGTAACAGCCAAATTTATGTGTAGATAACAGGTCTACCTTTGTATTGAAACATATTTCCTTGCACATCCACTTAATGGTTTGGAAACACACAAATGCAATTACAAAACATCCCACACAGCACTGCCTTAATTCTAGATTTCCTGGCAAATACTCAGACCAGACATATGATTATTTTTGGTCTTTCACACAGACATGCATGTGTGTTTTCACATGCTAGGCATTCTGCACCCCACTAGCAGTACTCAGTGCTTGCCTGCCTATGTTCCAGCTTGCGTGGAGTTTTCTGCAACTGACTCAAATTGTATTTCATTTCCTATAAGAATACAGCAAGACCTTTTCAAATATAATTCCACAGGGCTTCATCGTAGGCCCTGTGTTCTTCAAGATTTTCATAAATGACTTGGACACAGGACTGGAAGGGATACTAAGCAAGCTTGCAAATGGTACAAAACTGTGAGGAGCTGTCAACTCCCTCGAAAGCAGGGAGGCCATGCAGAGAGACAACAACAAATTAGGGGCCTGGGCAATCACCAACCATATGAAGGGAATGTGCCATGTTCTGCACCTGGGATAAGGCAAGTCTGGATGTACAGACAGACTGGGGAATGAGATGCTGGAACCAGTGCCCCAGAAAGGGACCTGGGGGTCCTGGTCAGTGGCAAGTTGAATATTTGTCAGCAGTGCCCTGACAACCAGGGGGGCCAACCCTGTCCTGGGGGCATCAGGCCCTGCCAGCATTGCCAGCCAGGCAAGGGAGGGGATTGTCCCTCTCTGCTCTGCCCGGGGGTGGCCTCAGTTGGAATATTGTGTGCGGTTTTGGGTGCCACAATACAAGAAAGATAATTGTGAGCATTCAAAGAAGGGAAACAAAGATGGCAAAGGGCCTGGGGGAAGCTGTATGAGGAGCAGTTGAGGTCACTTGTTCTGTTCAGCCCGGAGGAGACTGAGGGGAGACCTCACTGCAGTTACAACTTCTTCATGAGGGCGAGAGGAGGCCCAGACACTGATCTATTGTCTGTGGTGATCCATGGCAGGACCCGAGGGAATGGCCTGAAGTTGTGCCAGGGGAGGTGTAGGTTGGATATTAGAAAAATGTTCTTCACCCAGAGGGTGGTTGGGCACTGGAACAGCTCCCCAGGACAGTGGTTACAGCACAGCCTGACAGAGCTTGAGAAGCATTTCTACAACGCTTTCGGGCCCTGGGTGTGACTCCTGGGGATCATCCTGTACAGGGTCCGGGAGCTGGACTCAATGATCCTTGTGAGTCTCTTCCAGTTCAGCTTATTTTGTGATTCTGTCTGCTATTTTATATCCTCTATTAAAAATGCTTATCCTGATGTATGTCTGGAGTGCGCTTTGCTCTTTTACAACTGCATTTTAAGTATTTCGTTTTCAAATTTAATGTTATCACCACATCTCTACTTTTTATTCCAACTCATTAAGTGAAAATTCTGGATAAAATTCTGCCAAGCTCATTCTTGATGAACTCTACTGAAAATTTGGTTTTTTCACTCTTCACAGGACTTTGTTGTCTATCTGGTAGGAAGTTCTTTTCCTGTCAAATTCTTTCAGCAATCTCTATTTTCTCCAGTTTAATATTGAATATCTGATGCCCAGATAGATTATATCTACCATATTTTCCTTGTTTAAAATGTCAGTCTGGTTGCAATGGTGTAAGTATGCAGAGAGTTCATAATCTCAAACAGATTTGTGTATTGTAGCAGGCAGATTCCTCAGGTCACTACATACTTTCATACCCCTGCAGGCCCAGCTGAATTATGTGAGCTCAGGCAAGTTTCTGCTCTCTGGTGTGAACCACAGGGAGTATTCTGTTGTTCTCTAGATACCTTTTGGCCTGCTTTTACTTTTGTTTGCCCTACTCCATCCCAGATGTCGTTCATGCCACATTATCACTACCAAATGCATGTCTTCTTGATCTGACATATGCAGCCATTAGGAACCTGTAAAGATATGTAAGTAAAAGGAACGTGTGCACATACATACTATATGTTCTGCATTTACTTAGAATTTAGTACTGTTCTTAATCACTTCATAAAAAGTGCTGTGGCTGATATTGAAAATAATTTCAGTAGGTGTATGCAGTCACTAGCTCTAGGCACTGTAGTATTATGTAAAAAGCAATCCTTTGGGTCTGAAATTCTTCATGCTTAATTTCATTTGAAAAACTGCATGCATAAAAAAATTAAGGAAATTATCCTGAATTGCTTTTCAGTTATGTGTCACTGAAAATCAGGACAGTGTTTAGATGTTAACAGTAGCTACATTATCTTTAATGTAGATATGAAAATTCAGAATTTTGGAATTTAAATAGTGACATCTAAATTGGGGCTGATAGTTAATGAATTCAGTGGCCAAGTTTCAAAAACCTGGTTTTCATAATGACATATAGATAATTGAAATCATGCCTAGTAGGCATCTGGATTAAAATTGTGAGCAGGATATAATGGACCCAACCACTTTTGTGGAAACAAAATTCATTTCCATTTCTTTGTCAGAGCTAATCAAGCTCTTTCTAGATTTAAGGTTGGCTTCATTTTTACTTTTACTTCTAGTAACATGCCTTCATATAAGGGATGGAATATGCTTTATGTATTAAAATATGGACATTTTTTCCACAATTTGTTTTTGCCTGTTACTGATCCTGATTTCACATTCTATCAATCAGTTTCTCCTTCAACTGCAAAGAAACAATACATTCTTTACCCCATGGACCTTGACTGCATACAAACTGGCATCTGTTCAATCCCTTTTGCATTATACAGTGTATAATTTTACATTATATCCTTCAGTGTTGAGCGAAAGGGAATGATGGGAGATCGATGAGGGCTCTTGTTCTCTTATTAAGCAGTTGAGCAACCTCCCACTGGGACTGGGGCTCTGCAGGCCTCTGTTGTAAATCCTTTTACAGTCACACTTTTGATTTTGACTGGATGTTTCTGGTTAGTTTAATAATATTCCTGATCAATTTAAGATTAACAATTAGAAGTTTAATTAGAATTTCATGGGTCTTAATTGTCATTAAAAAGAGGAATTTACACTGAATTCTATGCTAATAGAGCATTAGGGCTGAACAACGGAAGTTTGGTTGTGGCTTTACGTTTTTGTTCTTTGTGGAGCCAATAGCTGCTGAGGGACACAGTTTGGCTTCTCAGTTTCTTGTCCCAAGGCATGCCTAAATTGCAGCTTGCAATGGAGCTATAATTCTTCTGGGGCACTGGGACAGAAATGCCAGTAGAGAGGGAGTGTGAAAGATTCCTCATTCACCACAGTTCTGATGACGTATGTCCTCATTACAGTTCTGATGAGATGGTGAGGCTGTCAGAAGTAGTCTGTGTCCATGGTTGCTGTGGTATGGATAGTACTACAAGGAAGAAAGTGATATCTTTCTCTGAATACCTTGTGAGGGCAAGGCAAGGCCAAGTGTGAGCTGACTCTTGTAACTTCAGATGGAAATACCAATAAAAACCAAGTCTCCTACAACACTGTAAACTTGGCCACCTTGCCAATCCTTTACAACTCGTAACATATATTGAACATAATAAAGATTTGCATTGCTGTTCTGTGATCTGAAAGGAAAATTGATAAACCTTTTCTTTGGTCATCTGATGTAATTTTAACTTTTCATTCAAATCTTTATGTTGATTGGTTTATGTGTTCAAAATTAGAATTAATCTGTTTTTAATGTAACATGGATGAATACATACATGAGTACGTGAATATCTAAGAATACATATATGAATATTAATATATATGAGTACATATATATATGTGTGTGTATATATACATATATATAAACCAGAATATTGTGTGTTCTTTTTGTTACAGGTATGTGTCCTGTGCCTTGGGATGCCCATATGAGGGAAACGTTATACCAGATAAAGTGGCAGAAGTAAGAGTGAATTTCTGGCTTGTCTTTTTAATAAATCAAAAATATATGTAATTATCTCTACTTAATCATAAAAAGATCTTTAATGGATAAAATTTAAGGAAAACAAGCAAAAAACCTAGCTAAAACTAAAACTTGGTGCATAACCTCACTTAACCATATACAGTCAAATGTGAGAAAAATAGCACATTTTGATTGTTATCAGTCATGAGAAAAAATATTATGCAGTATTTCACCTAGCAAGAAGGTAAGAAATTACTTAAGCAAATAGACTCAAGCACATATGTCAGTGGACTATGTTGTACAAAAGGGTTTCCTGCACAGCTTTTTGCTTTTTAAATCCACTTTATACTGGAATAAGCACACTGTGTTGTCATTATGCTTCTGGTGAGGGTCATGCGATGGACATGAACCAAAACTCACCCCCAGTATGATTTCTTAAATTGCTCTAGTGCCATGATGGAGTAAGTTGCACCTTCCCTCCCTGCCCCTTTTCCTCATTTGGAATATAGGATAAGGAAGAAGATATCCTAGTCCAGTCCTTTTTCCAGAAGAGAGATGAGTGAAACAGAAGTGCAAAATTTTGCAGGAAGGCAAAGAGGGCATCAAAGCTTAAATGGACTGGAAAAAACAAGAGTGGAGTAAAAATTCCACGAGGCTTAAGACAGAACATGCTGACCTTCCACCTAGAGACAGACTTGTCTTCTCTGTTACACTTAATCACCTATTTTTGTTGATCTAGCAGAATATCCAAGCCATTATTTTTTAATTTGTAGCACTAGCAACTAGTCAACATTTGTCTGATATATTATGTTCTGTGTGGGTGTTTTCAGGTCCTGTTCTCCTGCATCTTCTTCTAGTATACACTCCAGATGGAATTTGTGATAATACTTCTCCCACAGCATCCACACATACTCAGACTCTTTGGAAAAAAAAACCCAAAAACCTGGAAGGTTGTCAGTATTTCTAAATGTATTTTTTTTAATATGAAGTGAAGGTTAGAAATGACACAGTTTTAGTTAGAGCAGTGATGACATACTGCTTACCATGTTCCCCAAAAGGCTTCTTTCCACGTGTTGCTTGTTTTCTACTGAGAAAATCTCCTTTTGCTGAGAAGAGCTCCTTCTCAGTTTGCCAGTGGGACTGCTATTTAATGTTCCAGACCTGGAAACTTTTACTACACAGCTATTTTATTTTCTATCTTCATCCTATTAAGTGTCATCTTGAGTACCTGTATACCACTGTGTATGTGTTCATGATAAAAGCTACCACATTAAATTTATTAATTCCATCCCTGATTCAGGAAGTACTGCTGCATATATAGAAGCATCTGATAGCTTTTGTATAAATACATGTACAGAATCAGCATTACCAAAATTACTGGCTGAGTTGTTAAACTGTTTCAGAGAGCTGCTGCTCTGGTCATCATCTTTTTGGGATGGGAGCATTTTGACTTCCTTGACTGTGTATTGCAACCAGCAGCTATGATTGAAAGGTTTAGACAGTTTTTCCTCCTGTCAGTAACAGTGACCATTTTCAATTTTTTAAGCAAAATATTTTTTAACTGAAGCAAAAAACAATTAGTAGAGGTGGATTATTTCAGACTACATGCATTATTACAGATTGTTGCAGGCTACATTAATTTCTGGCATACTAGATACCTAACTGCTTTACACATAGTTATCAAGTGAGTGCAGAATTCAGATGCCTTCAGACTTCTGGAATCTATCAGATATATTTGTATGGTTCTTTATTTAAAACAAACAAACAAACAAACACTTTTCATATCCTGAAATAAATTGCCTAGTCCTGTTACTCTGCTGATTCTTGAAAGGAAGTCACTGCTTAACCATTTATCATTTTGTCGTTTGAGTATTTCAACTTTTGGCAGATAAAGCCTGAAAGTTTTCAGAAACACTGTATAACATCCTTGAAGCCAGTTGTATAATGCATTATCATTTAATTCCATCATATATTTGGCTGGTTTTGTCTTTCTGCCTGCTTATTTCTTTCTTTAACTTCCTTTTAACCTAAAGCAGTGAATTCATTAAGTTAAATATTATCCAGGACACATTCTGACTAAACTACAAAAAATGTACTTGCTCTTACTCGAATATTATTGGATCATTAAAGTTTCCCTTACAGCACAAGAACTGAAGGTTTTTTAGATTGTTAGTTACTTAAAATAATCAATAACTGGATTATTGGCTTTTTTTGTGTTCAATATAGGAGTATAGTTTTTGATATTTCCAGGAGTAGGACTGTTCACATGCCTAAGAAATTGCAGGGCTGGTTCCCAATTCCCATTTTGATCAATGCTTGGTGCCAAGCAATGTTTCCAAAGGGAAACTCATATGCATAGCAAAATAACTCAGTGGTGCAGAACACAACCCTGTTCAATCAACAAAGCTGAAAGCTCATATTCACATCCTGATTACATAGAAAAACAGTGTGTTCTCTTCTCCCACACTCTCCTCCCAAAAATCCATGTTGAAAACTTACAAAACTATAATTAACAAGCTGCCTTCTACTATGGTAGAATAGAAAATTCAGTACAAAAACTCCCATTCTGCTTCCAAGCTATACATTAAATTTAGATCTCTTTTTCAGTTTAGGTTGTGACGAGTCAGTGATGACTGCTTGATGGCAGCTTGTTAAGTTTCATCCTCTCTTCTTCCATCTTTCAGAACTCTGCATTTAGGAAATTGAAAGACCTAAGGACTGAGCATGAAAAAGAAGTGAATGCAATAGGATTTCTAGCAGTTTATATGGTCCAAGTTATGACTAAAATACTTACTAGAAAAACTTTGAATTGTGCATTAAAAAGAAGAGGGGGGGAAGTGCAGTACATTTCTTTGCCCTGGTCTTGAAGAAACACTAAGGTTTGGGATTTAACTGACTGTAATTCACCACTAACTGTAGATGATCCTTTTTTCTTTCTTACAACAGTAGTCTAGTTAAAATGTCTGCCATGTGTTGATGATATAGAAATATGCTGTGAGATGAATCCCTTTTGCATTCCAGTGAATGTCCCTTTCTTAAAATGTGTGTTGAATTTATGTGTATAGGAACCAGGGAATCTGACTTTAAAGCACAGTTTTACCACATTTGCAATAGTCATAGTACTTCCAAGCCTTAAACAGGATGATTCAGACTATTTCTTTTTTTCAGCTGTTCTTTGAATTAAGTGAACAGCAGTATTAATCCAGTGCTTCCAAGACTGCTGGTGCAGCACTTTGTCCACTTCCTCAGACTTGCTCACAGCAGTCCCACTGATGGAGCCCTGGAATTGTTTTAACAGCAGACTGCAGTGTGACTTAAGATGTCTTTTTGGAAGAGGGTTGTATTTTTTCATCTCTAAACAGTTAGTTTCTAAACTGGGATTCCATTCCAGTGGAGTGGTCTTTTGGGATCTTTCATACACAGTGGGGAATCCTAAAGGGTACAAACATATTGAGCAGCTGAAAATAAGGTGGAATCTTTCCAAATGAATCCAACAAAAATAAGATGGAAAGCACCTGCATTCAATTCCTTAAGCAATATTTTCAGTGAAAATACAGTTTTGTGCTTCCGAATGTGTTTCTCTCCATGCAAAAATTATGAAGCCAGACCTCAGTTTTTACTCATGCAAAGAACTCCTTGAAGATGTAATTCCAGAAATATTTAGGGCTCTGCTTACATAAGTAAGACCTATTTGTATATGGTTTTGTTTTGTATTAAGAAAATTTTTAAAACTTAGGGACCTGAATGTTAATTAAGTTGCAGTTTTGCTTTGTTAGTATTTTAATGTTTAATTTAATGAAAAGAAAGCAAAATTGATATTGCAAAATTAATGTTGACTGCAGCACGTTAAAATTTCAGCTTTCATTGATTTTTTTAAGTGCCAAGAGAAAGAAAAATGAGGCTTTTTGTTAATTATTTATTATCTTTGTTGGCTTCATGTAATATGCAAACAAAAGAACAGGTCTTTACCCTGCACAACTTATAAGCTGAAAAGTACATGGAGAAAACCAAACAGCTGGGAAGTCCCCAGAGATAAGAAAATGTTAGGAAAGGGCTTGACAGAAATTAATTCATAATTTTAAAATTTTGCTTGTTTGGATTCTGTGGGAGAGTCAGAATGAAAGTTTTTGATTGATTTGACTTGGTTAGCTATTCCACATACAGAATGTAGCAGAACTATAATTTTAGAATAAGAGGATCTGTGGGATGTTCTTCTTCTATGGCAGTTTTCAACAGTGAATATAGGTTGTCTGATAAATAGATCCACCTCAGTAGGCCCAAACCTAAAACCTGTACAGAAGTATGTCCTTTATAGTGTTTGTTCTTGACCCTATTTTATACTCTTTCATCTTGACCTCTTGGTGTTTTTCTGTTTCCAATCAGGTATCTAAGCGGCTGTACAGTATGGGCTGTTATGAAATCTCTCTGGGAGATACAATTGGTGTGGGGACACCTGGAAGTATGAAAAAAATGCTGGAAGCTGTTATGAAGGAAATTCCCTTGAGTGCTCTTGCTGTTCACTGTCATGACACGTATGGCCAGGCGTTAGCCAACATCCTCACAGCCATGCAGGTGACTTGGTTTTTCCTTTCATAATATACAATAATACTATTCTTATTTTAATTCAGTGTGCAATTTTAAAAAATCCTGCCATTAAAGAAATCATTAGAAGAGCAAAAAGGCATTCACTAAACTTTAGGAAAGTATTCGTCACACATCAGATTGTCTACTGGTATTATTGCTGTTGCTTTTACCAGGAAATGTCAAAATTTATATATTCATTACCTTCAATTCCATACAAAATCACTAAGAAACAGTTATGATTATTACATTTCATTGACATTAGATGAAGGAGGGACATTAAATAATTCTTTTCTGATATCTCGGATTCCAGTTTTCTTAGGAACATCTGTATATTTGTTTTCTACTAAACTAAAATTACTACTCTGTGAATGTGTCTAAAAGTAAAATGGAATAATGCATAATTACATCTTGATTTCAGATGGATGAGTCTAAAATATTAGTATTTATGTACATAGAATAGTCTGGATAATTTTATCACTATTCGTATGCCTTCATTATTCTTTTTTGTTTATCAGTTATACCTTCCAAGTAAGATTAGCGACAACTTTATATCTTATTTAATTGGCTTTCAAATCTGTGCCTAAGTTATCAGAGTTAATTTCCAGAAGAAATTCAGAATAGAGCACAATGCAGAAAACAGGCTGCAAGTTCTAATGTAGTTTTTGTGAAGATACAACCTTGAGAAATATCTTAAAATGCCTGTACTTTGCTAAGGAGACCTACTTTTACTAAGCATTACAGAGTCAGTAGCTATTTACAAATTGTGGGCCTTTATTGTTCTATTTTATACTTAATGGTGTCTTCTGTTTCCATGCAATTCAGGCAGTCATTTTGAAGGCCAAAGTTTCCTTTGTCTGACTTGTTATTTTGGCAGAGCTCATATTATGTTATTTAGCTACAATTGTGTTAACAGTGTTAGCGGTATATGCCACAAAAAGGAACAAGGAAGGTTCCAACATGGGAATCCACAGGTATATGACTAAATAGGGAATGACAAAATCTGGTAAGAAAGGTTCTAACTTTTACTCACAGCATTCACTATTCACCCTTACTCACTTTTACTGTTACAAATGTGTGTGTATGTACCATGGGATAAATAAATTACTAATTTCACAGTTAGCTTCAGTTGCAGATGCAATAGCTGAAAGCATGTAAACCCCTGAGCATGGGAGGAGTTGGCCATAAAAATACTTGAAGCATTGTTTTTCAAATCCTTCCTTTAAATAATTGCTGTCATGGTGCCTGCTAAACACTGAACAATGGCTATGCTTTGTTAACTCCAGCATTTGTTGTAAGTGCTTCTTGTCTCATGTTTACCTCTTGTTATCTTTTTATTTAGTTCTTAAAACAACTGTGTAAGAGCTAAAGGAAAAAAAATCTCTTAGGTACCTAATGTGCTGTTTAGGATAATTAACATGCAAATTCAAGAGAGCAAAAGACTTAAAAAGAAATTCCTGTGCAACCTTCTCATATTTCTGGGAAGGCAAGGGTGCCTGAGACCCACCAGAAAACTTCCCTCTGTTGTCAAGGTCTCCTAAAGTACATGTCTAAAGGTGCAGTGGTTTTGGCTCAGCTGAACTTGTCATAGGGTTTGCCAAAAGCCCTGATGAAGCAGGCATTACACAGCCTCTCTAACTGGCTTTGTGCAAGCAGCTCCTTGGCTCACGTAGAAGAAGGTCCCCAGGCTTTTGGATCCTCAAACAGATCCTGCACCTCACAGTGTCCTCTCTTGGGTCAGAAACCCAAGGCAGCTAGCAGGGAGTTATAACTCCTTCTAAAGCAGTGCTCCTGCTAAAACAAGGACTCCTAAATTGCAGGTTGGCTGTGTGGTGAAGTGCTAAAGCTGGTGAGTCAGAGTGCCCAGGTCACTTCTAGTCCCTGCTGCCAGCCTTGCCTGTGCTTTCCTTTCTGCCAAAGATATAGGAATGGCAGAGCACTGGGATAAAACCCCTTGTCTTTAACTCAGCTGCTGTTTCCTGAACCAAACTCTACTCAGACACAATTCCTTTCCCTTCCCCATTTATGGGTCTGCGTGACCGACACAATATTTCAGCAAGAGTGAAATGTGTTTGGGGGGTCATAGAAATAATAGGCTATAGTTATTGTTTCAAAACAAGTTTAAAGAACATTCAGCAGACAAATTACACTCTTCCTAAGACATTGCTGAACAATCCCAGGCTGAGTACTGTTGCATTGTATATTGTATTTCCTAAGAATTAATGAATGACAGCTGGAAAGCCACAAATCACTCTGCACTAATTCAGGCATTGCTTCGATGGGAGATCTCCTAGGAGTGGAAAGAGTTGCTGGTAATTCAGTAAGTGATTTTTTATACAGATCACATTGTTTCATGCAGGATTATACTACCCAGAATATTTTCTTTCGTTTGGGGCTGATCCAAAGTCATCTAGAACTGACAGGCCATATCTGTATAAGAAATTAGGAAGGCAGTAGTCTTGCAATTTTAGTATTCAGTTTTATATGTGTTGTTTTAAGAAAAGGATAGGTAGTGAAAGATGGGAGAGAGATTAGCCGACTTTTAAAGCATAAGTAATTTTTTGAATTGCTGAAGCAAATAATAGAGATAGAAAGGAAATTCAATTCATTTTATGAAAATAATCTATGTAAAAATGTGAGGAACATGAAGTGATGCTTCAAAAGAAACCCGTAAACATTTAAAGTAGAAACATGACTGCCTCTTGATTACATGGCTTAATATAAAACTACCAGAGTATAGAATTTACTAAAAAGACAATTCAGAAGATGGGAAATGATGTGGAGATCTAGTTAGATTTTATGGTACTTTGAGTAAAATTACATGTGTGCATTAGATAATGTGACAAACACATAATGTAACAGAAATAGTAAAACATTTATAGGAAAATGTTACAGATCTCCAAGGAAGGGTAAAAAGATGGGTCAGGAAACTTCTTTCTGGAGAGGCCCTGCTAAGGTAGACCTCACCTTATCTAAGGAGATTTGAGTTTCATTGACAATTGACTTCTGTTTTGTGCACAGAAGTGGAAAGGGGTGTGGAAAGTGTTTAATGGAAGTGTTAAAGAACTCTTTTCCTGGAAAACTTGTGTAGTTGCCAGAAATAGATTTGTGTGTCTTTATAACATATATTCAAACAAGAGAGAGACTATGCTAAGAGGCAAAGAGGATATTTGTCTGGCTGTGATACCTGAATAAAGGAAACAACCACATGATCATCCCATAGAATTTTATCAAATACAAATTGCTGTCCTAATTCATTAAAATGAACTGATTTCTACACTGTGAGGATCAAATTCTAACTTAAAAAAACAATTGTAAAACCCTAATGGCTTAGAAAGACCAAGGATTTTTACCACCTTGTGTAATCATGTTCGCCCTAACACAGAGAGATGAATGAGATTTATTACATGCCAAATGAAACTTCATTTTATGAGATGTCTTTTCCCAGAAAACAGGAATTTTTATAAAAAATACCCATTTTAGTACTAAAACCAGAATTTATCAAGCCTTTAATTAAACTTTCAAGGTTCAGACTGCAAGATTCAGATTTGAGGTTTTTATTACAAAGATAATATACGTCCTTTTCGAGACCTTACAATATTTAATAACATTTTATTAATTTCTTTAAGATCCTTGAATTTTAAAGATGAAATAAAAGTAAATCCAAATAAAAATGGCTGGCTGCTGACCTTTTCCCTGCATCACTTAACTAAATTGATTCTAGTCTCTTGGTGTATGCTGGAGACTAAACTGCATATTTTTGTCCATCCAGTTTACATCTGTAGTAAAATCTAGTTTACTCAAAGGCACTCAGGATTGGCCTGGCTGTGTTAACTGCCAGAAACAGGAGAGGAATCTGAATGTAGATGCTGAAGTTCCTGGTTTATTAATTTACAAGGATCATTTTTACAGGAATAAAGCTTACAACAGCCAGCAGCATGAAATGGTAGAGCCTAAGTTAAGCAGCTAAAACAACTCCTATGTTTAAAATTCCCTCCTCCATGATTTACGTGAAATTCCATGCAAAACATTAGATGAGATGAATTATCCACCCCAAACCATCTCCTGTATGTAGCTGTCCATCTTATTCTTTTTTTTTTTTTTTTCCAAATACAGGCTTTGGTTTTTATAGCTGTTGAGCTTGCTTGAAGTCACAAGCTGTCATGGCACCCTTCAGGTACAGGTTAGAGGCCAGCTTGCTGCTGAGATCTCTTGTCCAGGAGCTGCTTGCTACTAAGGATCCTCAGCGCAGGCTCTCTCTCCATCCTGCCAGGCAGGCAATGGCTTTAAACCTGAAGCTTTAGTGCTTGGCCCTTGCCTGAGCTACTCAGCCGCAGCATTGCAATTGCACTTGTGCCATCTGGTACCTCCCTGATTCTCCTTCTCATCCTCACCTGCTGGCTTGACTTACTGGCTTACCCCCAGACCTGGCTGGTCTTGTCTGATCCTGGTTAATGTGTCCAGAGCTCATTCCAATCTTGAATCTCTAACTCAGCTTCATGGCTTTGTTTTTCTGGTGATGTTGCTGCCACTGCCTGCCTGGCTGTGGCTCTGGACTCCTTGCTTGCCTCCTTCTATGGAGTTGTCTGTCCTTGCTGCTTTTCAGGACAGCTGAGTCTTTAGAGAAGGAACTGGCAACCAATAACTTGAGCTTTAAGGATGGCTTTTAATGGCAGGTGGTGCTGAGTGGGTGCTGAGAGTTGGCAGGTCTCATGCTTTGATCTTGGAGCTCAGCTGGAGGCTTTGTCTTGCAGAGGCAAGATATTCCTACTCAGTTAAATTCAGAAAGCATTTCCTGGTGTCTTAGTGTACACAAAGCTCTAACAGTTCTCCACTTGCAGCTCTGTTGGTAAAAAAACAGACTCAAGAAAGCCTGAGAAATTGGTGTTGGTGTCTGACAGCACTTAAACATCTCTCTCAGGTGCCAGATTATGTTTGCTGACATTTTCCTCTTAAGTTTTCAGACCTGCATTTCTGTGACTGACTTAAGA